TTCCATCAGAGACCTGGTCACTCACTCACCTGACACACAGCATGTAGTGGTTGAGAAGGACTTTTGGCTTGAGACGAATTTTGATCAGGTTGGAGATAACTTCCATGTCCTCTGAGCTGTGGGTGTTGCAGTTCATACAGACTGACATCAGCAAGTCCTGTGCCGGCTTGGTCAACTGCAGAGGAAGAACAGAAAGGCTACAGCCACCTGCCATCACAGATCAGAAATGTAGCTGGCACACAGTATGCAGCCCTCCTGGCCGGATTCCCGACAGGTCCAGAAGAGTTGTGCTTCAATAGCTTCTGTCCTTACCTTTGGATTCTGCAGCCACATCTCCAGCCTCTGCACAGCCATCTGCCGCACCTCTTTGTAGCCACAGGTTGCTGTCAGCAGTCGAAGGAGGTTCCTGGAGACATTGTCCATCGGCTGGCGCCGGTTGAGTTGGTCCCGCAGCATGTCCAGGACATATTCCTCCACACTCTCTGCCAGGTCTTCATACCTGGGCCACACAAACTCCATTTTATTCATTTCCATACAAGCCAGCTTGGTCACACTTTGCTGTGTCCAGAGATCAGCATCCTTTCTTGTTTGTGATATGTGTTACAAACATAAACCTTGGTCACACTTTGCTGTGTCCAGAGATCAGCACCCTTTCTTTTTGTGATGTGTTACAAACATAAATCTACTCTCTCCTCCTGGAACCAGTTGTATCTGATGCTCAACATCCTCTAGCAAGTGCCAGAGGATAGCTAGGGCAGAGAGGGAGCTCCCTGCTGCACGACTGCAAGAGTGGGTGAGCACAGACAGATCTGCCACATGGCTATGTCAGGAGAAGAAAAGGCACTGTACCTGGGCATGAGCTGGCCCTCCTGCTCTGGGCTCATTTTCTCCTCTGCAATCAGCAGCTCACTCTGGCTGTCTTCCTCCTCCGTCATGGAAGGGTGTGGACTACTCCCTAAGAGAGACCAGCGCACGCTTCATGAGACAACTCTTCTTTCTAGGGATCACTCACTCATGCTCTTACGTGCTCAGCTTCTTTCAAGGATCCCCTTCAGCAACACTGAAGGAAGCCACAACTAGTCACTTCTTCACACAGTATCACATACAGGCACATTCTCAAAGTCTTTTTCTCTGCCTGCCTGCCCTCAAACATCTCCTAGAAATGAAAGAGCCCCAAAGAGAGCAAAAGCAATGCCCAGAACTCAAAGCCCGGACTACATGACTCCATCCAGTAACAAACTATTCTCACCAGTCAATAAGCTCATCAGGCTGCATCCTCTCCCTACCCCTTTCTGTTCCCCTTCCTAAACATCATCTTACCAGCACTAAGGTCCCCTCCACTACGTCCAACTTCTCCATGCAAGAGCATGCTCTTAGGAGGCATCTTTGTGTTAAAAGCTGTTTGGATGTTATCCACAAACGTCTTGCAGTGAGGGCTGTCCACCCAGATGCGCTCCCCAAGAGAGTCCTCAATGTAAACCTACAGGATAGAAAGCAGAAGATGGCACAAACCATGCTCAAGCCTTCTTTGTACTGGTTAATCAGAGGAGTATTTATGAGCTTCCTGAGCTTGTATTTGTTTTCAACATACAGCTGTGAAGTCAGAAAGTAGCATAACCATCGCATGGATGAAAAACAGAGACCAGATGACTGCAGACAAGTCACATAAGAGCAAAAAACCAAACTGCCACATCCCAAGCTCTACTGGACAAGGGCCCTCTCAAGCAGCAAAGTTGATTAAAAAGTTTAGCAAAGGCTTTACAACAACTTCTACCAGCAAAATATAGAAGCTGGTCTTTTAAAAGCTTAGCCTTTTTAAATCAACAGGTTTTATAAATCCCTATAGACAAACTAGAGAGTAAGAAGTCTCTGGGACACTTATATCAATTTAGATTGTCAAAGGCATCTCAGGAAAGAGCAGAGATAAGGCAAAAAAAGGCAAAGGAGACCACAGCATTTCATCAACCAGTGGAGATTTTTCTTTAAAAAAGCAAGGACTCTGGTTTTCTCCCTTGTCAATACAGCATAGGCCCAGTCTCCAATTTCTGCCTCCTCCAGCTGCATTCCCCATGCTGGGCAACAGGCCACTGTACACCCCCTTCCCTCGC